TCTTAGAAATCCCCTTTTAATTTCCAGCTTAAATTTATTCACAGTGGTTAGATCCATTTGTTCTGCTGCCAAAATTGGCCTTTAGCTTAAATAGCTCCTTTCCATTCCCAGTGCTTATCTTCCTGGTGTATTTATAGAGAGCAATCTTATCTTCTCTCAGCCTTCATTTTGCTAGGATAAACAAACCAAGATATTTCATTTGCTCTTGTAAAATGCGTTCTCTGTTTCCCCTCAGCATGCTATTAGATCATCTTTGCTCCCATTGCAATTGGGATTTATCTTGCCTGAACACAAATCTCCAAATTATACTTAATAATCCAGGTGAGGCCTCACTAGAATCACGTACATGGCATCAATTCTCCCTCTCTCTACTGGTTACAAAACTCATTGCCTGATTCACGGTAAGATATAATGGCTTTTCCACCGCCACAGTTGTGATATGTTGGCAGTTTACAGTCATCCCATGGCCAGCTATACACCCAGTTCTTTCTCCGCCTCTGTTGCTTCCAACTAATAAGCTCAATGTTCACAGGAGAATTGCCTATTATTATGTATAACCTTAAACTTTGTGTTATTGATGCTTATCTCCTTTCCACTACTCCAGTCCTTAGAACCGTGAGTTCTTCCTGTAAGATATTCCATTTATTTTCCATATCAATTTTATCTGCTGGCAGTACAATGTCCTGAATTTAATAACACCCTCTTATGTTTTCTACTGAGATCATTAATAAAAATGTCAAGTAATATGGAGCTGAACAATAGGAATTTCACCAACAACCTGCCTCCAAGCCAGTAGTTCAACACTACCCTTTGTAGTCTCCCCATTAGCTTAGTCCTTATTTTCTTTGTCTTTCTGTACAAATTGTCATCTCCTCCAGCTGATAACTCAATAATTGCATGACACTGCCTTCCCTTGTGTAGATTATGTCATTATCATTGTGAGGATCAGCATAGCCAGAACAATTTTTATGCTTTCCTACTTCTGCCGGTGAACAAAGCTTGTACTTCTTGTGTGCCTTTTCTTACATTGCACTACTCTTCGTAAGAGGGCAGTTAAAATAATCGTCTGTGTAAAACTCTGCAGAAGAAGGCATCTTTGTGTTCATTCAATCAGTAAATTCCTCCTCCTCCTCCTCCTTTTGACAAAATTTCAGTATTTTCACTGAGAAAGGGCCTCTTCTGTTAAGCTTTGAGGAGCAGCGTGGCCTCAACCTTTGAAACTAATGAACATCTGCAAACCCCAGGTAGACTCCATCTCCACATAACAAGCAAACATATCTCCCACAACACAAATGCAGGCACTCTCCCTCTCTCTGTGTTTTTTTCCAATTATAGTAGGTGGCCTATGTAAAAGAAGTTACTTTTCCCCTACAAACCACAGCTCTCGGAGGTCACAATAGCTAAAAGAGCACTGCTGACCCACTAACCTGGCTAGCCGTGCACTCTCTGTCGCCACCTCTATTAGCCGATGGCGGAGCGTGGCAAGCTCCAGGATTGTGGAGAAGGAGTCCAGGATAAAGAGCTGTTTTTCGCTGCCTGTCTTTTTTTCTTCATCTGCTCCCGCCTCTAATAGTGACAGAGCAATCTCTTGCACCAGGACAGGGTCTTCTATCAGTACCCCGGCAAATAACTGCAAGGAAAGGGAAAAAAAGGAAACACAGAAATCACTTACATACAGATGACAAAGCCTTTAAATACTTTAGGGGACTGTTCTCCTTTTTCTTTTTCTGGAGTAAATAATGACTGGAGTTGCTTCTGACTTGCAACCCATGCAAGGTCAGAATTGTGCCCACCCTGACCTATCCTGACCCCTAAAAATACACTGGCGTTTTGCCACTTGCTTTAAAGGTAAAGACACGGAATCTATAAACCTGGCTTTACTTGAAGGACTTAACAAAGTTTATTTTATTTATTTTTTATATCTAACATATCTATTTTATATCTATTTGCCTTTTTTATTATAATCAGAATTCAGAAGGCTTTCAGATGTATATACCTCTCTAAAGCAGGGGCTCTGTAACTTGGTTCACTTATTACTAGCTGAGGCCATTTCTCCTCTAAAGAGTGTACAGATCCCAGCAGACATGCCATTGTATGTATGATGCTCCCAAAATGGGGACAGCAAACTCATATGGACAGCTAACTCAGCAGAGCTGGACCCCCTTTTCTACTGGGGCGGCAGAAGCCTCCAAAAGAGCAGAAATCCCAGAAAAGAAAAATGATGAAAAGCTGCAGCTCGGTAACGTGGAGAGCTGGAAAGAAGAAAATGGTCCACTGGCTGTTGTACTGTGGTGGCAGGAACAGCTCCTGGCTCTGTGTGCAGGAGAAGATGCTCCTTGTCTCTAGCTGTCACAACCTGTACAACTGTGCCACCCTGCTCACGTCAGACAGGATAGATGTGGCCTCTGTTATAACTGAGTGGCTTCACGCTTCGCTGCTTATGACCAATGAATCACAGAACATGAGGAAATCTGAACCCAGCCATGCAGTTATTAGTAATAAGAGTCTAGATTTCAACACCTGCCATTCGCTACACCTTCACAGCTACACTGAAAAAAAAAAAAGTTTGAAAAGACAACACCCCAAAGTTGTGTCAGAAGTTGTGCAACTTTATTTTGTCCCTCTCCCCCAATGCTTTACAATGTGCTTTTGTAATTCTATGACTCTGGATGGGTGGGACAGGACAACCCATCTTTGTGCTTCTTCACAGAGCTGCTACAAGGAGAATAGCATCTTCCCTATTTCCAAAGGGGACAAGAGAAGAGGTAATAAACTTAGACTGTAGCAAGGCGCATCTGTGCTAGACTTTAAGGAGAACTTGCTAAAGGTGAAGCTGGTAAAGCACTACAACAGACTGCTTGAAAAAGTCTATCACATGATGTGTTTAAGAACAAGACAGCTATTAATCTCATGGGAATAACATAAGTATAGCTGATCCTGGCTTGGGGCGAGCAAGAAGGATCTCACAGCTTCCCAGGGATCATTTAGTCTTTTAATTCCAGAATTCACTTTTCTTTTCATTTGGCACTCTGATGCTTCTACATAGGAAAAACACCTGTTCTCAGGCTGGCAGCATCTGTACCTCACCCCTGGGTAATTTGTTTATTATGAAGTTGAAAGATGTTTAGGAAGTCAGATGGGGAATAACAACTGAATCTTGTAAAACTGTCCTTAGTGAAGGGTTGGAATAATATGAAAGAATGAGATCCGGGGTCACAAAAGAAGCAGTCCAGGAAGGACAGAAATGTTGATTTTAGCATACCAAGTCATAAAGAAAAACAATGTGATCATATAAAGACTGCATCATCATGACTATACAAAAGGAAACCAAATTAAATCTGCTCTGGTAAAGGTCAATTTCCTAAAATTTAAATGTTTGACTTTTACGACCTTAGTGTCTTCCTAAACATTGCCTGCTTGCGTGTGTTTGTCTCATCTGCAGCTTCTGTTGGAGGAAAAGAAATGGGCAAGAAGCAAACACAACAAAACCTCTCCCTTTCCCCCTTGGCAACAGCAGTGTGGTAACTTTAAGATCCATTGCAGAACTCTGCCACTGACTTCTGGGATTTAAAATTAAAAAAGCAAAGAATCGTTTGTGATCTGCTGTGGACAAGAGAGTAGTGGGACACTGCCAGTGGATTTTATTGGCATCAGATTGTTGCTGGGTAAGTAATTCTTGGGTTTTGCCCCTTCCAGGGCAGGGAGGGGAGTATCCCAGGTGGCTGTGCTCTTCTGCCTTCAGTTTGCCTCTATACTTTCTCACCCATCACTGTCTTCACAGTCTCTTCATCTAGCCAGTTCTGTCTCCATGCCTCAACTTTTCATTTTCCTCCCCACTCCCTTGATTAGCAAGTCTTGTTATCACTGCTTTTGGACAGCTTGACCCAATCTCTTTACCAAACTGTTGAAGATTATTATAAGTTTTTTTATATTGAATCTATATTTTGTGTTTGATAGTGAATGAGTGACTACAAGAACATTTTGATTAAACCTTTAAAGGGAACCTTTGTTCCCTTGGAGTTATATTTATTTTTAGGCTTGTTAGACACTGAAACACAAAATCAGAAGTCAGGCAGTGGGAAGAGGCTTGGGGAAGGTGAACAGGGTGGGAAGCCAGGAGCCTCCATTTTCCCTTTCCCAAGTCACAGGGTAGTTTGCTCCAGCACAGTCTTATCGTCCTCCTGCCTTCAGCCCAACAGAAACTGCTTACGAAGGCTCCCTGTTGCCGTTTCACTGAGGTCAGCTTCAGGTGTAGGCAAAGCAAATAGCCGCCTAAAGAGGATACAGGAGGCTGATGGGATCCTAAGCAATCCTAAGACGGCTGGGCAGCAGAGCAGGCACCATCCCCACATGCGGTCCATGGCTACAGCACCGAGGGCTCTACCCTGCTGAGCTGGCACTGTCCGTTTCTGCCTGTTTCTGGGTGTTTTTGTTGAAGATTATCATAAGTTTTTATTGAATCTTTCTATATTTTGTGTTTGATAGTGAATAAGCAACTATAAGAACATTTTGATTAATCTTTATGTTAGCGTTATGTAGGGGTTGCTGTGTTACTAGTCTTCATGTTAGCGTTATGTATGGGTTGCTGTGTTATTCACTGGACCATGTTAGCCTTAGTCTTAATTCTCTAGACCGTAACCAGACCACTTAGGCTTTATTGTATATGGGATGAGTTATTTGACAACTTGACAAGGTAGATGAATATCTAGCTAACTTGGCAACGAAACTTACTTTTAAGGTATCCTGAAGTGAACTGCCCTCATTATAATACTAAAAAACACACCCACAGGTCAAGAAGACCCTTGCCCAGGTGAAGACCCTTCCCCTGCGCAAGCGTAGTAACAGTAGAGAATGACACAGCAGATATTCTAATTATATGTAAACCACTAACCAATCATTGTAACTGGGAGCGTACTACCTAGTAATTCTTGTGTATAAATGTAACGGTGATCTAGCCATAGGTGTGCTTGATTTATGGAAATTCCACCTGGCACCCCGCACCGCAATAAAGAATGCCTGCTCTCTAAAACTCCAAATTGAGTCTTAGAGAGTTCTTCATCTGCTTACGGTAACAAAACCATTCTCAATCCTCCACCCCCACCTGAGGTGCCTTCTTGCCCCAGCCCCAATCTGCAGTGCACTTTTTTCCCCATATCTTTTCCTTCCAAAAGGAAGGAACAGACTGGGTCTTAGTCCTAGTCTCTGTCTCCCAGCTTTTCATCCACCTCAATCTTCGTTCCCATTTAGTGGCTGCCATCCCACTTACCGTCAGCTGTTTTTTCTCCATGCTCCTGGCCAGCTCCTGCTCCACTAGCAGAGCTGCCACATCTCCTCTGCGACCTGCTCAGCCAGCTTCCTCCGCTGCCTCCGGTGAAGGCAATGCGAGTGACAGTGCAGGCTAACAGCTTCTCATACTCCCTTTCAATGCTCAGACCCAAATCGAACATGGATCACTTAGACCAGAGCTATTATTGCAGGGACAGTGGAAAGTCCTGATTTGCCTCAGGTTATAGATATACCAGGGCACACAGAAACTTCAGATAATGTCTTCCTACTGAACGTGTTGCAATAGCGTATTTTATTTCAGTTTATGCTGGCCAAACTTGGCAGGAATGAAAGCGTAGCATATCACTACATAATGAGCCTTCCCAAACTTGAAATATATGCTCCAAAGCATAGCTGTATCACAATCTTGTAGAGAAAACAGAGAAAATAATTTATTTTCCATTTCTTGCTCTCAGCAACAACTAAGCTGACTAATTAAAAAAAAATAAATCAACCTGATAGAGACATCCAGTATCGATAATTTCATTCACAATAATTAGTATTTATCAAAATTACAACCAACCAAATTCAGAGTTCTACACCAGGAAATGGTAGACATTACAGTAATAACCGGCTCCACTTATAACAATATTTGCTTTAATGTCCAGTCTTTTTCTTTGGTTTTTTCAAACTGTACACACACACACACAAACACAAAACCTGGAGATTTACCGTGATCTCATGTCAGTTTTAAGCATGTCTATTTTCTTTCTTGTTAAGCTGATTGTTCCTACTTTATACTGGCATGAGACCAAGAGTTCTACCTTTCTGTGTTCATTTACGGAAAAAAATCTTGTTTTAAAGGTGGGTGGAATGGATCTTCACCAATCATAAGCAAATAATTAAATTAAGAATCACAAAGCTAGAACTTTAACCAGCAAGCATAAATGAACTAGCAAGATCACGCTCTTGGGCATTCTGCTTTAAAGAGTCATTACTAGCATAAAAATGGAACTTACATCTTTTTGAATCTGAGAGCTGTAAAAAGTTTCTGGTTTTTCCATAGTTAGCCATTCATCAACTACTAGCTGAAGTACTTGTTTTTCTAGATTACTTGCTTTACTGGCTGTTTTTGGTCTGCAGATGCTGTAGAATTCCTAGTAGATATACTCAAGAGCTTTGGGGATCAAGCACACCAGACCAAGAGAAGGGTGAAACTCCAGCAAATAAATGTTCTTCAAAGTAGGACTTAAAGACAACAAAAACAAAGAAGAATAAATAGCTCTCAAATAAGGCTTTTATAAATTGTATATATAAAGAAAACTTATAATTGCTTAATTTGCAAGAATAAATTGCAATGGCTTTAAGTGCACATCAGAAATCAATCATCAAATCTGAAAATAGAACTGAAGCCTTAATATATGTAATTATGTTGGAACACATCTAAGTAGTCTCATTTGCTAATGAAAACAGAAAATGTTTAAAATTCTCTTTCGTTAGCTGACATGTTTTATTAACCACATTTTGACGTCTATTATGCCCTCCCATTAAAACTGTCTGCACTTGAAAAGAAGCCCTCAGATAACCAACAAAAAATCAAAATATGTGTAGGGGGAGGAATAGGGCCAAGGGACTTGAGTCAGAGGCAGGAAACCAGAAGGGACCAGAGGCAAGGGGCTCTTGGCTTCTGGGTGTGCATTAGCTGCTATGTAAATCCTTCGCAAAACCCACAGTGCTGCACAGCTGCAGGATGGGGAAAGTGTGGTGGGTCTGTATTGCAGGTAACATGTGGATTCCACGTGTGAAAACAGAGTACGCACACATCCAACCGGGCAGGTGTGCTAGAAAGAGTCATAGACTGCGGACAAAGGGCAGTGAAAGTTGTGAAGCCAGGTCAGAATACTGATGCAGCGAGTCTAAAGCAAGGCTAACCTCAGTACCCACTTTCATCATTACTGTTTAATAATCTGTACCCACGGAATATTAACGTCCCTGTGCACTGCAAGATGCAATTATCAAATCCATTGTCATGAAAGGGCAGTGTAAAGGTGGTGGGGAAGGAATCACTTTTCTTCTTTGAACGTTTTTCTGGCTATCTAAATAGTATGAGACTAAATAACGTGAGACACTCATCTATTGCTTGATTCACCTTAAGACTGTCATTTTTTCAAATAGTCTTATTTTCAGGTGCTGGATCCCAAATTTTTACAATCAATCACAGAAACTAGAACAGAATGAGGTACTCTCCAGAAAAATAAAATTGTATAATTACTCACTGGCTAGTGTTAAGAGAGATAAGCTGCTTAGTAATTACATTATAAGGAAGTCCAAATTCACTGATGCCACCTCTCTGACCTTCCCACCAAATCTTGTGGACGTATTCCCTCTGGGCATCTATCTAAAACTCAGCAATAAACACAGGTGACATTAGCCAAAGAAATTCACACACAACTAGAAATCAAGGCAAAAACAACTATTCTTTATTTTAAAATAAGCTGCAAAGATTTATATTTTTATATAGATCATAGAATCATAGAATAGTTTGGGTTGGAAGGGACCTCTAAAGGTCATCTAGTCCAACCCCCTGCTGTGGACAGGGACATCTTCAGCTACATCAGGTTGCTCAGAGCCCCGTCCAACCTGGCCTTGAATGTTTCCAGGGATGGGGCAGCCACCACCTCTCTGGGCAACCTGTGCCAGTGCTTCACCACCCTCACTGTAAAAAATTTCTTCCTTATATCTAGTCTAAATCTACCCTCTTTTAGTTTAAAGCCATTCCCCCTTGTCCTGTCACAACAGGCCCTGCTAAAAAGTTTGTCCCCATCTTTCTTACAAGCCCCCTTTAAGTACTGAAAGGCTGCAAGAAGGTCTCCCTGGAGCCTTCTCCTCTCCAGGCTGAACAACCCCAACTCTCTCAGCCTTTCTGCATAGGAGAGGTGTTCCATCCCCCTGATCATTTTTGTGACCCTCTTCTGGACCCGCTCCAACAGGTCCGTGTCTTTCTTATGCTGAGG